TAGGGGGTTAACCAGATTAGTGTTCTATTCCACAATCAAAGAAAAGTTCATTTGGCAGTCATTTGTTTTTTCAAGCTTACAGTTGTGGAACACAACTGACAAGATAAGCTCTAGACACATGCACACATGCACATACACACGCACACACACGTGAGGCCTTCATCAGGAGCTCCCACAGTCCTGCCCAGCCACTCCTCCCTGCTCATATAAAGGTTTGGGTTCAGTCTGCTCTCACCAGCCTGCGCCAAACTCCCCCCAGGGCAGCTGAGACTGGTGTGGCAGAAGCAAATCCTTCCTGCTACAGTCACACAGGAGTCCTAGCAACAATCACAATAGCAACAAGAATAACAAGACCTCTGCTGACCTTAATGAAACCATTATTATAGGCAAACTGTAAATTTTAAGACCCTAACACATTTGATTCACTTAATCCTTACAACAGCACACTGGGTGGAGCGGGGACAGGGGGGGAGTGGGGTCCAGGGGTTGGTATGAACTGACTTTAAGTGATTAAGAGGACTTGGAAATAATCTTTTTACACTAAGGAGGCAACTACAAGAATTTGCCTTGGAAAAGTAGTCACCAGCTGAGTGCTCTGAGTTTAGATTTTGTCTTTAAATCCAATAAAAAGTACATAATTTTGAGAAGGCAATAATCCAGACCGTGCCACACTGTTGATTTGAGAAGGGCTTGATGAGTGCTCGTGGAAATGGGAGTATCTACAGCTTCCTTGTCCAAAGCCTGCCTGGGCTGGGGCTGAGGGAGGCCAGTGAGACCCTGAGGCCTGAAAGTGGAGTTTGAATTGAAGGGAAGAGCACTGTGTGGCAGACGATGGTAAAGAAGGCCAAGATATCTGAAGGGCGGCTTTTTTCATGAGACCATTCATTTCTCAGCATCTCACATCCAGCTCTGTGGCTACTTCCTATATGAGGGGCTGTTAAACTCGATATTGTAAGAGAAGGAAACACATGGTAGCAGCTGAGGAAGTTTCCTCTAGGAAGTCTCTGCCCAGCTGCACCCCGGCAGGGAGGACTAGGTTGGCCACAGCCTCCAGTAGAGTACCCACTCATCCTGGGGGTTCCCCTCCACGATCCCTCCCTCTGGTGTGGAAATCTGCAAGGGGCTCTAAGACTCCTGGGCCTAGTTGACCCTCCAGATGACCTGAGGGCACATAAACAGAGGAAATCCAGTGAAATCTGAGAGACAGTCTTTGTGAAGCTGTTAAAACCTGCCTGGTTGTCAGACCTAGCAACCCAGGGTTCCAGTGTGGGGAAATAAAGCCTCAAAATCTTGGGCTGTAAAAATCTGTGGGGGTTGCAGTGGGTGGGAGAAACTCCCAGCCTCGCCGGAGAGTTTGTTAGAGAGATGCACAGGGTTCTAGAATGTACACAAGACTACACACCCAGGAATCAGCACTAGAAGGGCCCAAGTTGCTTGTGGGAAGTGAAGGAAGTGACTGAAAGACAATCCAGAGCCAAGCAAGTGGCACTGTTCCCTTTTGGACCCCTCCCCCACATACAGCACCACAAGGTAGCAAAGCAGATTGCCCCACCCTGGTGAATGCCTAAGGCTCTGCCCCTTAGAATGTAACTTGTGCAGGAGACAAAAATATATATATATATATATATATATATATATATATATATGGCCCAAATGAAAGAACAGACCAAACCTCCAAAACTAGAACTAAGCAATGAAGAGATAGCCAACCTATCAGATGCAGAGTTCAAAACACTGCTAATCAGGATGTTCACAGAAATAGTTAAATATGGTCACAAAATAAAGGAAGAAGTGAAGGCTACACAAAGTGAAATAAAGAAAAATATACAGAGGACCAACAGTGAAGAGAAGGAAACCAGGACTCAAATCCACGATATAAAGTAGAAGGAAGTAAACGGTCAACCAGAACAGAATGAAGAAAACAAGAATTCAAAAACAAAATGAGGAAGGACTTCTGACCAAGATGGAGGCATAGGTAGACACACTGTGACTCCTCGCACAACCAAGATAGGGTCAACAACAATTTAGAAGCAGAATAACAACCAGAACTGACAGAAAATTGAACTGTATGGAAGTTGGACAACCAAGAAGTTAAAATAGACATGTTCATCCAGACCAGTAGGAGAGGCAGGGAGGGGTCACGGCACAAAAAGCGGTGGGACCAGGTGTGTAAGGCATCCCGGGTGTGCAAGACCACAGTGGGTGGACCCTGGGCGGGCAGGTGGCAGCTGGCAGACCCCGGGCAAGGGGTGGCAACTGGCAGACCCGGCAAGGCAGCAATTGTGAAACAAGGCACTGAGTGTAACCCAGGGTCCCAGCGCTGGGAAATAAAGCCTTGGGGCACTGATTAAAAACAACTATGGGAGTTGATGTTGGGGACTACCCTGCCTGGTCTCAGGAAGCTGTAATCCCCCATGACTTAGGCTGAGTGAAAGACCTCTGAACCAGGAGCCACTAGGGAGACAAAACTTATTTCCCTGACATAAACACTGCCTGTTCTAATCCCTGGCTTCTCTATTGCATGATCAGCAGTCAATGATGGGTAACAATTTTCTAAGAAAGAGAATGAATCTAAGACAGACTCGATCATGTGGGAATGCCCTAAGGGAAGAGACTCAGGTGGCTGTGGAAATGATGGGGTGATCGACATCGACCCCTGCCCCCAGGCCTCTGCCAAAGCCTGAATCCTTGAGAAATCCAAGTCTCCCAGCTGCCTTTGTCTCCTCTGCCTGACTCAGACTTGCGGAAATAACAGGGGTGGCGCAGTCCAGACCAGAAACGGCAGACACCCGGGGTAATCAGGCCTGAGACATAGAATATGAAAGACCCTGTGAGATCTGCTTGCTGGAGGATGCTCTTTAATTAAAATATGAAGGCACAGGGAGGAAACAAAACTAAGTTTTTAAGTCCTGTAGTCTTTTTAAATGGTAAAACTCCAAAAACTCTGGCTTAGGTTCCCAGCGGGAGATCTGCCAGCGCCTTTCAAAGTTAACTACTTGTAATTTGCAAAGGGTATTGGTATTCAAGAATAAAAATCTGCTTGGGAATGGAGACAGGGCACTCTCCCCACTAGAGAGAGAGTGGCCATTCCGTTTTTACTTCCCCACAGAAACTGCTTGTCTCTGTGTATGTCTTTCTCGTGTTTCGACGAGCCATCTACAACGTTCCGTGCTCACTACAGGCAGGTGAGCATGCATCAAGTTGACGCACAAGGAAAGACTCCCAGCCTCACAGGAGAGTTCTTTAGAGAGACCCACTGGGGTCCTAGAATGTGCACAAGCCCACCCACATGGGAATTAGCACCAGAAAGGCCCAGTTTGCTTGGGGGAAGCAGCAGAAGGGACTGAAGTCTGACAGAGAGTGGAGCAAGTGCCATTATTCCCTCTCAGACCCCGCCCCTACATACAGCATCACAACCCAGCAACTGGGTTACCCTGCCCTGGTGAACACCTAAGGTTCCACCCTTCATACATAACAGGTATGACAAGACAAAAAAGAATGGCTCAAACAAAAGAACAGATCAAACCTTCAGAGCAAATACAACTAAGCGACCAAGAGATAGCCAACCTATCATATGCACAGTTCAAAGCACTGGTGATCAGGATGCTCACAGAATTGGTTGAATTCGGTTGCAAATTAGATGAAAAAATGAAGGGTATGCTAAGTGAAATGAAGGAAAGTGCACAGGGAACCAATAGTGATGGGAAGAAAACGTGGACTCAAATCAATGGAGTGGACCAGAAGGAAGAAAGAAACAACCAAACAGAAAAGAATGAAGAAATAAGAATTCAAAAAAATGAGGAGAGGTTTAGGAACCTCCAGGACATCTTTAAACATTCCAACATCTGAATTATAGGGGTACCAGAAGGGCAAGAGGAAGAGTAACAAGTGGAAAAGTTATTTGAACAAATGATAAAGTAAAGTTTCTCCAATCTGGCAAAGGAAATAGACTTCCAGGAAGTCCAGGAAGCTCAGAGAGTCCCAAAGAAGTGGGAGCCAAGGAGGAACACACCAAGGCACATCATAATTACATTAGCCAAGGTTAAAAATGGAGAGAATCCTATAAGCAGCAAGAGATAAGGAAACAGTTACCTACAAAGGAGTTCCCATCAGACTATCAGCTGATTTCTCAAAAGAGACCTTGCAGGCAAGAAGGGGCTGGAAAGAATTCCAAGTCATGAAAGGCAAGGACCTACATCCAAGATTGCTTTATCCAGCTAAGCTTTCATTTAGAATGGAAGGGCAGATAAAGTGCTTCTCAGATAAGGACAAGTTAAAGGACTTCATCACCACCAAGCCCTTATTATATGAAATATTAAAGGTATTTATCTAAGAAAAAGAAGATAAAAAATATGAACAGTAAATGACAACAAATGCAGTTATTAACAACCAAACCTAAAAACAAACAAAAAAAAAAACTAAGCAAACAACTAGAACAGGAACAGAATCACAGGAAAGGAGATCACATGGAGGGTTAGCAACAGGGGAGTGGGAGGAGGAGAGAGGAGGGAAAGTACAGAGAATAAAATATATTTTTTTAAACCCTGCCTGATGGTAAAAGGCATAAAACACTCTAGAAGCAAAAACAGTATAAATACCAAATGTATAGGGAAAAGTCCATATTTCTGGCTGCTTCTATTTATCTCTCTCCTTCCTCCTCCTCCCTTTGTTTCCAGATCATGCAAAACAAGAGCCAGCTCCTGTGCTGCTAGTGACCAGCAGTACTAGTCTGCCCTTGTCTCAAAGGAGCGGTCACAGCTCAGCCTGCTGCTGAGCTGGCTAGGCAGGAGCAGGCAGCAGGTGCTGGGAAGCTTGCATGGACTCAGCCCAGGCTTGGGTCTGGAGGAGCAAATAGTCCCTGTCTTTAGGGAGCACTGAGATGATAGAGACACAGCAACTATTACAAACAAGTGACCAGAGCTGGCTGTGAAACTGGGAAGGAATGGGAACAGAGAATGTTGGCAGGATTGGGGACTGTTCAAGAAGGGTTCCCCAAAGAGGGGATGATGAACAAATCTAAAAGGAAATGGAGACTTGGATAACTCATTCATTTATTCATCCAGTTCTTCCACAAATAACTGCAGCATCTACTGGATTCTAGACAATACTGAAGGACTGGGGACACAGAGGTGAGTAAAACCATACCACCTTACAATCTAGTGGAGACACACATGTCTAGAAGCAAGTCCTGAATAAGGGTTGCATCCATGTGTGGACAAGTCAGTGTGTGAGCAGGCAGAAGGGGTGGGAGAATTGACCCAGGTCTCGTGTGAGGCTCAGGGTTGCCACCCAGACAGCAAGGAAGATGTGCAGGCAAAGGGGTGCATACAAAAAAGCAAGAAGTCAACCAAGGTCCAGCCATTGTGTCACTGGGCTAAAGAGGTGGGCAACCAGGGGAGAAGAGAATGAGAAGGGAAGGCTGGGCCCAGACTCAGAGGGCTGGCATGCCTCTACAGGGATTGGGGGCCACTGGAGGATGATAAAAGGAGAGATAGGATCACAGGAGGGATAGGATGGGGTTGACAGGGAGTGGACATGAGGTGTTGAGCCAGGCTACAGAGTGAGAACAGGGGAGGTCCAGCAGCCAGGTGGGTGGCGAGTGCAGTCTCAAAAGGAGCTGGTGCCTCCTCTCTGTTTGAAGTGGGGCCAGGTACTGATGATGTCATACAAAGCCTTCCCAGGAGACAGAAGGTTGACAATATCACTGTGCCCCACCAAAAGGTAGTTGGGAATCAGGTACCCCTTGTCCACTGCACACTGGATCAGGCTCTGGGCTGCCTCCAACGCTGCAGCATTTGGTGGCTTTTCTGAAAAATACATATACCCATCAATCATCAGAGTCTCAAGGTTACTTGCTCAGAGCAGGGCCAAGCACCTGCATTCCAATCTCCCTCTCCCACACCCCCACCACCATAGCCAACAAATTCACATAATCTGTGGCAGCCAGACACAATGAGAAAACAAGGTCATTATATTCCTTGACTCCTCTTTGCAAAGCTTCTTCTGGAAAGTTGGAAACTGCTCTGGATGAGAACTGCAGCACAGCACACCGCTTCTCAGCAGGCACCAGGAGGCAGACATGGCACCCCTGGACTGTCCATGCTTTACCATAACAGGTAGTGATGGTCCTCAACATTTGTTGCCATGGTTACCAAGGAAGAAAATATCTTTGCTGACTGAGCCATAAAAGCACCAAAGTTTGCAAAAGATTATGTTCCCTCTTGCTCCATATTTGCCTTTGGCATGGCTATAAAGATAGATGGAACTGGGTATGCAGATGGGTAAATTTGGGGGAAAACTTTCTGCCTGGGAGGGACTCCTGATGACCTGCATCCTATATTGAGTCCCTGAAAGCTAAAATGCACCACTGACAATGCCAGACACCACAAGGTTGCCTTGTCCTTCCTGCTCCCCAGACATTCCACATGAAGCTTCACCACCCAGAACCCTTCTGCCCCATGCTCACTCCTTACCTACAAAGTTGCCCATGAAGGCAATTCCTAGGGCAATATCATTGTATCCATAGGTGTGAGAGCCTTGGATATGCCAGCCAACTCCTTCATACACACCACCATCCTGACCCACCAGGAAACTAGGATTGGGCAAAGAAAAATGCAAAAAGTTACTCTGGGAAGAAGAATTGGCTTCATTTACTCCTTAAATCATTCATTCATTCTTTCATTCGTCACATATTACTGAACGTCTCCTATGTGCCAATGTATGCAGAGACAAAAAAGAGGAACAAACAAACAAAAAAAACAGTCACAGTCTCTGAACCTGAGAAGTGAGCTCAGACAGTGACAAGCGATGATAACAGCAACTTCAGTGTACTGCAGCGTGGCCTTTTTTCCCACAGTGCCCCTGAATCAGACCCTTCCAAGGTGACCAGTGACCACCTTGACACTAGTACATTTTCTCTTCTGAGTTACACTGGCCCTGCTGACCCCTCTTTTCTTAAAACGTTAACTTTCCTGGGCTTCCAGGAGCCACACCTTCCTGGTTTTCCCCTACTTGGCCGGTTTCTTGCGGGCCCTCTCCTATCCCCTACCCCTTCCCTAGAAAGTGGTGCTCCTCAGGATTCCAGTCTAGCCCCTTCTCTCATCTCACTCAGCATGTTTTTCCTACACAATCACTCAGTCCCATAGCTTCAATTATTATCTATAAAACCAACATGTCCAAACCAACACAGCTTCTCCTGTGATTTCCTCAGCCAGAAAATTTGGGCATCATCCTGAACACCTCCCTCTCCCTACCCCAGCCCCATCCAATCATGAGTCATGGCTTGTCAATTGTCTCTCTTCTCTCAGTGTCAGCTGCTGCCATTATGATGCTCCAGGTCACCACCACCTTTGTCTGGATTTCTGCAATAACTCCCTGCCCAGAGTTTTGCCCACTTCCATCCCATTCCTAAAATAGCACCTGGAATGACTTTGTTAAGATATGAATCCTACCATAGGGCATGACTTTCTAGTTGCTTTCAAATTCAATCTATAAGAACCCACTTCAGGGCCCTTTGTGACGTGGCTCCGGTTGGCCTCTCCAGTCTCACCTCTCACCATTTTCCTCTGATATCTACTGTTATATATGAGTTAAAGTTCTTCAGTTCCTCAAAGATACATGCTCTGTCTAGACCCTAGCATATGCTGCTGTACTCACCTGGACATTTCTTGCCCCTCTTTGCCTGACTAATCCCCACTCCTTATCCATGCCCCAACTTGGATGCCCCTTTACCTGGAGCCCTGCCTGACACACTCACTCCCCCAAAGGTTTGCTAATGATTCAACCTGTGCCCATCCTATTCCTCATCCATTACAGTGCCTCACTCTTACTTGGCCTTACGAAGTTTGCTATCTTCCTTCTCACCTCCACAGGGGAAGGAACCATATTTATCTTGTTGAGCACTGGGCATGTAGCAGACACCCAATGAATACTGGTTAAAATGTTAGAAAACAGTGAGTGAGGGGGTGCTTTGTCCTGATTACAGTCAACATCAGTATTAGAGATGCAACATGAGTCTGGAGGGTGAGGGGGCACCATAACAGGTTTTGAAGGTCAGGGGACAGGATTGAGCCATTGAAAGCTGAACGAGAAAGGAAAACTAATATCCCTTAGCTTCTGGTATTTTCTATTCAGGGTTTTCAAATTTATAGTCCATTCCCTGTTATCTGTGCTGCACAACCATGGCAAGGCTGTGGAAAGTCCTGCAAAGGGCAATAGCAGCTTCTTCTATTTGCAAAGGCTGCTTTTACAGTGGGAGTTAAGAGGAGAGGCAGCCAGTCCAGAACAAGTCACGTGCCAAAGTAAATTCACTTGAGACTTTGCAAAAGCTGTTGTGATTAAGTCACAGATGAATGATTGCAATTTATCCTCACCTAACCCTGCATCCCTTCTATGAAATTCCAAGGCAACTCCTATTTAGCTTCTGCTATTCCATTAACTCAATGTGTTTCTTTATGATAGACTTGGCATTAAAGGAACCAAAAAAGAACATTCAAATTTCACTCTACATCTTCAAGTAGATATAGTATCGCTGTCCCAATTGTAGAGATGAGGCTAAAGGGGCCCAGAAAGGTTAAAAAGATCCTGTATGTATAAAATGGTGTAAATAGTACCAGAGCTATCACAGGATTCTAACATCAGAGGCAGCAAGTTGTGGTTGTGCCAGACTGAGGAAGAGGGTGAGCAGGGCCTGTGTCTCTAAGTGGTTGGAAGGGATTAAATAAAATAGGCAAAATCTTCAGTGGTCTTCCATAAGGGTCTCACAGTCTTGCTTTGCCACTATTGCTTCTAATGTCTCCTTTTCAGAGTCTTCCCTTGAAGAGAACGTGCCCAGGAGAGATACTAACCCTTAGCTATGTCTGAATAATAGTCCAGAATCTCACCCAAATAAAACATCATGTCTTATGTAAAGCCTTTCACACAAAGGAAGGGCTCAGTAAATATTGATTCCCTCCCACAGCCCTCCTTCCTATAGTGTTGAAGAAAAGGAGGGTCAGATTTCCACCAATCCCACTTACTGATATCCAATGTCACAGAAGTTCAGTTTGTCCATGTGGTAGGACTGTGTGTCTCGGACTCGAGCCTGGCAGTCCATGGGTGTGTGGCAAGTTGCCCCAGCAGTGTGGATGATGATGACATATTTGGCTGGGATGTTCATTTTAGGGCAGTATGTCTCTCTGGCTTCCCAAGATGACCGCATGATGATGCTGGGGCAAGCTGTGGCAAGGTGAAAAACCAAGGCCATGGGAATGCATCTGTGCCCACAAATGGATAATCACACCACCGCAGGCTGAGCTGCTCCTCAGTCACCCCAACCTCTGGCACCATGGGCACATCCTAACATGAATTCAGCTGTGGGGCACTAGGAAAGGCCAGATAGGGAATGTCTGGGTCAGGTGGCTACAGCCAGTGGACAAGGGCAAAAATCTACAGGTTCTGATTACAACTATGGAAACCAGTGTGTTAGCAGAGGTGAAAGAACTATTGATCATACAGAGTCAGCCATTCCATTCAAAAGACTAGGTGTACCTACCTGCCTAAATATGCATTTCAAATGTATGCAGGTGTGTGTACTTATGTAAGAGGACCAAAATGCAGAAATCAGAGCTGACTCTCTAAACTGATCACATGTACACATGGAAGTAATTTGAAATCTATAAAGAACTCTACAAATGTGAAAAGATTATCATTATTGAAGATAGCACCTATCTGAAAGCAAGAAAAACTTTAGAGATTTACAATATTTAAAAGGTTAATACAAAATATCCTTGAGTCCGACTTCCAGCAAGATGGAGGATAGGTGGATGCACCATACCCCCACGCACAACCAGGATTGGAACAACAACAATTTAGAGGCAGAATAACACCCAGAACTGACAGAAAATTTATCTAAATGGAAGTCGGACAGCCAAGAAGTTAAAATAGACCCGTTTATCCAGACTGGTAGGAGGGACGGAGAGGAGCAGCCGGGCACCGGGTCGCAGCGCAGAGAACAGGGAGAACTAGGTGCATAAGGCCACTGGGAGCGTGTAAGGCATCTGGGGCGCAAAAGATTGCAGTGGGCAGACCCTGAGTACGCAGGCGGCAGCTGGCAAACCCAGCGAGGCAGCAATTGTGGACCAGGGCAGAGCGCGCAACCCAGGATCCCAGAGAAGGGACTGAGATCCCACGGAGAATGGAGCTACGGCCATTGTTCCCTCCCGCCCCTGCCCCCACATACAGCATCACAATCTAGCAACTGGGGTGCCCGGCCCTGGTGAACACCTAAGGCTCTGCCCCTCACCGTAACAGGAGCGACCAGTCCAAAAAAAAAAAAGAGAGAGAGAGAGAGAGAGAGAGAGAGAGAGATGGCTCAAACAGAAGCACAAATCAGTGCCCCAGAACTCATCCTTTTGAGCGACCAAGAGATAGCTAACCTATCAGATGCACAGTTCAAAACACTGGTGATCAGGAAGCTCACAGAATTGGTTCATTTTGGTCACAAATTAGATGAAAAAATGCAGGTTACTATAAAAGAAATGAAGAAAAATGCATAGGGAACCAACAGTGATGGGAAGGAAACTGGGACTCAAAACAATAGAGTGGACCAAAAGAAAGAAAGCAACAACCAAACAGAAAAGAATGGAGAAATAAGAATTCAAAAAAATGAGGAGAAGCTTAGGAACCTCCAGGACATCTTTAAATGTTCCAACATCCGAATTATAGGGGTACCAGAAGGGCAAGAGGTAGAGCAACAGATTGAAAACGTATTTGAACAAATAATAAAGGAGAACTTCCCCATTCTGGCAAAGGAAATAGACTTCCAGGAAGACCAGGAAGCTAAGAGAGCCCCAAAGAAGTTGGACCCAAGAAGAAACACACCAAGGCACATCATAATTACATTGGCCAAGGTAAAAATGAAGGAGAGAATCCTAGAAGCAGCAAGAGATAAGGGGACAGTAACCTACAAACAAGTTCCCATCAGACTGTCAGCTGATTTCTCAAAAGAGACCTTATAGGCAATAAGGGGCTGGAAAGAAGTATTTCAAGTCCTATAAAAGACAAGGACCTATATCCCAGATTACTCTATCCAGCAAAGCTTTCATTTAGAATGGAAGGGCAGATAAAGTGCTTCTCAGATAAGGTCAAGTTAAAGGAGTTCATCATCACCAAGCCCTTATTTTATGAAATGTTAAAGGGACTTATCTAAGAAAAGAAGATTAAAAAAAAACATGGATAGTAAAAGGACAGCAAACTCACAATTATTAACAACCACACCTAATGCAAAACCAAAAGAAACTAAGCAAACAACTAGAACAGGAACAGAACCACAGAAATGGAGATCACATGGAGGGTTAGCAACAGGGGAGTGGGAAGAGGAGAGAGGGGAAAAGGTACAAGAATAAGTAGCATAGATTGTATGTAGGAAATAGACAGGGGGAGGGTAAGAATAGTATGAGAAATGTAGAAGCTGAAGAACTTATAAATATGACACATGGACATGAACTAAAGTGGGAGGAAGTGGATGGGAGAGGGTATACAGGGTAGAGGGGAGTGAAGGGGGGAAATGGGACAACTGTAAGAGCATAATCAATAAAATATATTAAAAAAAGGAAAAAAATATCCTTGAGTCCAAGAAAAGATCCACTCTAGCAGAAAGCATTAAGCTACTGAAGTGTCCATTAATTGTACTGGTTTTAGGTTGCTGCTTGCTCACCCCCAAACAGGGCATGATTTTCATCATCCAGTTTCTTGAAATATTCACTCTGATGTCAGTGTAATCTGTGAAGGCAAGTTTTTTTCACCGCTCTGGTCATGTTGCAGGTTGGCTGAGTTTTGCACTTAGAAAGGTTGTGTGTGTGTGTGCTCACATAGTGTACACAAATTTGTGCATGTGTGTTTAGTTCCCCATTACCACACTGTATTTTTCTCTAAGCCTTCCTGCCATCTGACATCACATGTATTTTACTTGTTGATTTCTTTATTTTCTGTCTTTCTTCACAGAAATATGAAGTTTTTTCTGTTTTGTTCATGGCTGTAGCCTTAGTACCTAGAAAAACACTTAGTATTCAGTAAATATCTGTTGATGAAGTGAAAAATGTGTGTATATACATCTTTATGTCAAAAATGGCTCCATGGCTATGTCATTCCAATGAGAAGGAGAGATCAGGAAAGTACCCTCTCAGAATTTTCTGGATCTCAGCGTGAGGTGTCCTCGGTCCAAAAAACTGCCCCTAATGGTTGAGTGTCACTGAGAGGAAGGTGAGCTGGGACTGAGGACCTTACCTTTCCTGGGCACTGGCTGCTTATGGGCTGGGCACACCTCTTCTTCCAAGAGAAGTGGCTGAATATACCTGGGTGACAGGTGACCTTTCCGGATGGCGTAGAAGATCAGGTCCTCTGCAGCTGATAAGGCAGCTGGGCTGGGACTGCTGCCTGGAAGAGGATGACATGGAACACCAAACTGTCACCAAGAAACTCCAGCATGGTCTAGATCTGGAGGAAGGATAAGGAGACCACCTGACCCTAAATAGCTGATGAATGGGAAGAGAGGAAGCTGGTCCAGTAGCCAGGACAGGGGGTCTAAGAGGCAAGGAACTACTTGGACAGAGCTCTTGGAGACCAAGTTGGTGACCTCTTTCAAGTGCTAAGACTTTTATTCACACCATCTTTAGGTGGAAGAGCTGGGAGGCAATAAAAGCTACATGCAAAGGGAGGCCTACATGACCAAGCAGGCACTCCCTAGCATGGAGAAAGGGGTGACAATACTTACTTAGTGGCTCCCACAATCCAGCATGTGGCAAGTGCTCTTTTCATCCATTAACTCATATAATTCTCAAAGAAAACCTCTAAGATAAGTGTTGTTCCTAGCCCAGTTAGCAGATGAGCATCTGGCAGGTGCCAGTCATTTAGCTATTAGCTCTTGACTCCACCCTGCCCTGTGCTTGCCTCTGTTTTGCAGGGAGCTAAAAAGCTGCAAAGGACATTCCTCAGACTTCCTTGCCTGCTGGCTTTGGTTGGGTCTTCCCCATGTGAGACACTGGAGGAAGAAAGAGGCCATGCTTGTCTGCCTTTGCCAGGTACAGCTCAGTGTCACACAACTTCAGACTCCAGAAGTGATGGCAAAACTGAGCTCAAGCAGTGTCAGCCTCACCAGAGCACAGACCAGAGAAGAGGAAGAGGACAAAAAGGGTGCCATGTCATAGAATCCAAGCAAGGAAAGAACTTCAGGACAGTATGAGATAGGCTGGAAGGAGAGGAGCGTGGGCAGCATTTGAGATCTAACTTCCCAAGCCTACATGGTCAGTTTGACTCAAACAAATTCTATAAAAAATTCAAAAGAAAAAGAAAAGAGAGGGGTGTGGAGATGAGGGAGTGAAGGAAGTATAGACAATGCTCTGGCAGAGGGACAGAGGGGATGACCATTACCTTCCTTGGTGCCAAAGAAGGCAAGGCCCAGCGAGATGCTGTTGTAGCCCTGAGTGTGCAGACCTTGGACGTTCCAGCCAACACCTTCATACACCCTGCCATCGTCCCCAACCAGGAAGCTGCCAGGCAAGGAAACATGGATTGAATGGCAAATCCCTATGACAGGAAATCTCTCCCCCATCCTCAGAAGGAAAAGGGTTCTAGAGGCTCATAAAAAGCACTAAGCTTCAGTGACCTAACAGTGGGAGAGAGGGGGGATCACCTAGTTTAGACTTCCCAGACGTCTTTAAGTGTTGTGACTTCATTTACATGTGCTTCACAGAACCTCCCTTTAAAAATGCTGATTTGGTTTGAAGTGGAATTTGAACCTGAGGACATTAGTTTAACATATTTCAAGGGCATAAGAATGCATTTGTCAAGTTCTTAATTATAGAATCAAGCACTTGAACATTTAAAACAACTTAAATTCAGGACTTCCTTTTTATTATATGACTTTTTCTTAAGTTTCTCTTCGGGAGTGCCTGTAAACTCTTCTTTATCACAGAAACTTCTTTAGAATCTTCCCTTTTTCACTTTATATTTTAATATATTTTATTGATTATGCTATTACAGTTGTCCCATTTTGCCGCTTCACTACCCTCCACCCTGGACACACCCTCCCACCTACTTTCCCCCTCTTTAGTTCATATCCATGGGTCATACTTATAAGTTCTTTGGCTTCTATATTTCCTATACTGTTCTTACCCTCCCCCTTTATATTTTCTACCTACCATTTATGCTACTGATTCTCTGTACCTTTTCCCCCTCTCTCCTCCCACTCCCCTATTGATAACCTTCCATGTGATCTCCATTTTTGTGATTCTGTTCCTGTTCTAGTTGTTTGCTTAGTTTGCTTTTGTTTTTGTTTGAGGTGTGGTTATTAATAACTGTGACTTTGCTGTCATTTTACTGGTCATATTTTTTATCTTCTTTTTCTTAGATAAATACCTTTAACATTTCATATAATAAGGGCTTGGTGATGATGAACACCTTTAACTTGACCTTATCTGAGAAGCACTTTATCTGCCCTCCCATTCTAAATGAAAGCTTAGCTGGATAGAGCAATCTTGGATGTAGGTCCTTGTCTTTCATGACTTGGAATACTTCTTTCCAGCCCCTTTTGCTTATAAGGTCTTGAGAAATCAGCTGACAGTTTTATGGGAATACCTTTATAGGTAACTGTCTCTTTATCTCTTGCTCCTTCTAGGATTCTCTCCTTCTCTCATTTTTACCTTGGCTAATGTAATTATGATGTGCCTTGGTGTGTTCTTCCTTGGGTCCAACTTCTTTGGGACTCTCTGAGCTTCCTGGAAGTCTATTTCCTTTGCCAGATTAGGGAAGTTCTCCTTTATTATTTGTTCAAATAACTTTTCCACTTGTTACTCTTCCTCTTCCCCTTCTGGTACCCCTATAATTTGGATATTGGAATGTTTAAAGATGTCCTGGAGGTTACTAAGCCTTTCCTCATTTTTTTTAATTCTTATTTCTTCATTCTTTTGTGATTGGATGTTTCTTTCTTCCTCCTGGTCCACACCATTGACTTGAACCTGTTTCCTTCCCATCACTATTGGTTCCCTGTGCATTTTCCTTTATTTTATTTAGTGTAGCCTTTATTTTTTCCATCTAATTTGCAACCAAATTCAACCAATTCTGTGAGCATTCTGATTACCAGTGTTTTGAACTGTGCACCTGATAGGTTGGGTACCTTTTAATTGCTTAGTTGTATTTTTTCTGGAGTTTTGATCTGTTCTTTCATTTGGGCCATTTTTTTTCTGTCTTGACGTGCCTGTTATGTAGTGAGGGGCAGAGCCTTAGGTGTTCACCAGGGTGGGGCAATCCACGTCACTGGGTTGTGACACTATGTGGGGAAAGGATCTGAGAGGGAACAATGGCGCTTGCTCTGCTCTCTGCCAGATTTCAGTCACTTCCCCCATTTCCCACAAGCAAATTGGGCTGTGCTGGTGCTGATTCCAGGTGGGTGGGCTTGTGTATGTTCTAAGACCCTGTGGGTCTCTCCACTGAACTCCCCTGTGAGGCTGGGAGTTTCTCCTGCTGCCGCCTCAACCCCCACAGGTGTTTTCAGTCAGAGGGTTTGAGGCTTTATTTCCCCGCACTGGAGCCCTGGGTTGCGTGGTCTGTTTCCCTCCCCAATTGTTTTTCCCAGTTTATCTACATGCGAATGTGGGACCACCCGCTCCACAATCCACTGCCTCGCTGGGTCTGCCAGCCACCGCCTTGCCACGAGTCCTCTCCACCCCAGTTGCCCATCTCCACCCCTCCTACCGGTCTGGATGAATGTTTCTTTAACTCCTTGGTTGTTGGACTTCCATACAATTTGGTTTTCTATCACTTCTAGTTGTTTTTTGTTTTTAAATTGTTGTTGTCCTTCTTTTGGTTGTGCAAGGAGGCACAGTGTGTCTACCTATACCTCCATCTTGGCCAGAAGTCTCCTTTTTCAGTTTATTTTTTAAAACAAATGTATTATTCTTTTGTTCTACGTGCACCCTTCTCTTTGCTTCTTTAAATCTTTCTCATCCTCCACTTTCTAACCACAGACTTGAGAATTCATGTTGTTACGACTCTTGCCATATTCAGCTTCCACAGCAAGCTGAACACAGAGAGAACACTCCCCTGAGGTCCCCCAAAGACCCTGAGTGGAGATGGGCAGACTTCCCATTCTGCGCTGACATCAGCCTGAGGTTCAGGGAGCCTTAGCATGTCCAGCACACCCCTGGCTTTGCTGCCAGCACATTCAACATGTTCCTGTGTCACAGTGATCAGCCCACTGTGAACAGTCCCTCAAGGCTGCTGTCAGCTGCACTGTACTCACAGCAGGCTGTTAAATTGTCACCACAAAGCCTGACTTGGAGACTCAACAGCTGAAATCCCCTGGAAATGCTCTGGCAGAAGAGGGGACCCAGCAGTAACAGCAGTGGCAGTGGCAGTTCTCGTGGCAGGGACAGCAGCTGAGTTGTAGTGAACACAGCTACCCCAGAGGGAGGATGAAGACCCTGCTACCACCCCCAGCCCCAGGGACTCTGGAGCTGCAACGAGGCCTCCAACTGCTCTTACTTATTTACATCTAAAAATAAATTAAGGACATGGATTACACTTTCCAAATGGGTAATTCAGAAAGCATTTATATTTGTCTTTAGAATTCAGGGAGGAAAGCTCTATTCCCACACTCTCTCCCTTCTTATGAAGATAGATAGATGATAGATAGATAGATAGATAGATAGATAGATAGATCTTCATATATATAGGAAATCTTGGCCTCCACTGATAATCCTCAGCACAGATACCCAGTCTCCATGCCTCACACTTGTCTTAACATGGGGCTGTCCTCACTCCAACCCCAAAGCCATACCTCCTATGGAACCCCAGTGTCACTGTGAGGTGGCCTCGCAGGGTACCTGGTGGGGACTGCTTCTCAGCATAAAAACCTGTCCGTGTGTGAAAATGGAGCAGGCAGTCTGGGAGAGTCTGGGTCCACGCTCCCCAGTGGTGTGACTCTTTCTAACCTCCCCAGACCACAGTGTTCTCACCCAAGAAGCAGGACTGGTAATGTTTCTCCTGCCTGTTCCTCAGAGCTGCTGGGAGGGCCCGCATGGCTAATTCTTGTGAAGACCTTGTAAACCATGATGTTCTTCGAGCTGCAAGAGAGCAGCTGTGGGGACTACACGAGGTCCCTTGCTTCCTTCCCAGATCTCCCAGAGTCCTAGACCACATCTGAATAAGTAGCTCACGGCCTCCCTGCTAATGATCCTGGGAGGATTTTGGATTTTGCATGTTTGTTTTAACACTTCATACTTATTTTTAAAAGCAGCATGAATGGGAAAACAGAACAGGTGGAAGGCTCTTACTTGTAGGCCACATCACACCAGCCTTTGGTGTTGATGGAATGGGACTGAAGGTCCCGCAGCTTCTGGCTGCAAACATTCTGCTCCTGGCACTCCATCCCCATGAGCTGGTCCGAGATGACATAGGCCACGGGTGGGGTCAGCAGGGCCCTGCAGGTCAGTGATTGTGCCCCCCACTCCTTGCGGGAGACAATGGTGGGGGTACCTGCAGGGGGTGCAAAGGATGGCACATGGCAGCTCCTACTCACTTCCCCTGACAGGCTGCCAGCGCCACCCTTGTCCTCTCCTGCCCTGATGGGGGGACAGGCCCTGGGGAAGAAGTTTGCCACCCACAGCCTCCCCTTCCCATTCTCTATAGTCTGTTTAGGCTAAAAAAATTTCCCCATTGGACTCTGTGTTCAGCCTGGAAGTCAAGTTGCCTTCATTTCCAAACACTGGCTTCTTGTACTTCCCTAGAAGACATCCCATCCTCAACTCCTCTCAGGCCGGCTTCTCCCTCGAGGCCTTCAGAAAGCAGCCCCGGGGACACTCACGCCCAACCCTGGGGTCTGAGCTACCTTCTCTTGAAGCACCTCACCTGGTTGCTTTAGGAAGCACTGTCCTCACTGGCATTTGCCCCGGGTCTCTAAATGTGTCTTTTGTCTGGCCCTCCCCTCACAAAGGTGACTCTCAGGAAGTTCTGCCACTCTCCTCAAACTAGAGACTCCAGGATCTAGAGCCCACAGGAAGTTCCATGAACATCAGGTACATAGCTCTCTCTTTCAGATGAAAAGTCACTGTGCACAGGGCTGTGAGAGCCCCGAAGGGCCCCAGTTTCCCTGAGGCTCCCTGTCTGTGTCCATCTTGGTGCCTCTGGAAGCTCACTCAGGGACAGGATATCTCCACCCTCCTACTGAGACCTGAGAATAGGGACTTTGTCTTTCCTACCCAGGGCCACTCTCCTTTCTGCACCTCACCTTTGCCTGAGGGCTCCAGACAATCCATGGCACTCTGGCAAATGCCCCTCTTGGGATCCCACCCGCCCCCACCCCACCACAATGAAGTCCTGAGAGGCATTCTGGCCACCTAAGCAGCCCCAGCCAATGCCAAACCACCTCACCATTGCGACCCTTTTGAATGAACTGCGAGATGCTGACAAACAGGTCCAGAAGCTGCTCCGACACTCCTCTGGCTTGGGTTTCATTCCAGGAGAACCAAGGAGAATCCCCTACAAAGGAACATTGCACTTGGTGCTGGTCCTTACAGAACACCTGGACCATCCCAGAGGCATGGGCTCCACATCCCCACCCCACAGCCCACAGCCTCTCTGCCTCCCCAAGTTCCCTGGCTTCCTCTAGGAAACAAGACAGAGATGTTTCTTTCTGGCCTCACCCTCCCTCTGCCTCTCACATCTGCCCCAATGATGCCTTCGTGTTCCCATCTTCCCCCAACCCTCCCTCCATTCCTGGTACTCTGCAATCTCTCTGTCCCTTATCTGAACAGCCCAGACTTTCCCACTTCACCTGCTTACCTATTAATAAATCAGAATGTCCCATGCCAAAATGTCATCATCATTTTGAGCTAACACAGAAACACATACTAAACACCTACTGATCCAGATAAGGTTCTTAAAATATAGAAGTTTCCCAACTGTTGTGACTGCTCTTACAAACTAGGTGTTTTAGATAGGATTAATTGAGGATTAGTCATTACAAATATGTCTCATTTCCCTCTGCCTGTCCAGTACCTGAGGTCATGGGAGCAATAATCCCTAGAAGCAGCAATGTCACCAGCATCGCCACCCACAGGCTGTGCTTTGTTGGTTACAAAGCATTCTCAAGAACACTATCAGATTTGTGGCTTAAAACCACTTTAGAAGATGAGCAAAGCATATCAACTACTCCCTCTACACAGATGAGAAACTAAGGATCAGAGAGATTAAGTTACTTGCCTAAGAGACACAGACCTTAAGCTATGGACTTGGATCCTGACCCAAGCTTTTTGGCCCCAGAGCAATGTGCATAACTACTACCTTCTCCAGCCTCCCCAAAGTTATCGGATGACCTTGGACAACTGACCTTGTCACTGCCACAGTGTGGCCTGTTTCTCTGGCTACACAACAAGGTCAGGAAGGGTCTCCACCAAGGCTGAGATTCTGCACTTTTGTGAAATCATCAGGAACACATACATGACCATGACACTGAGGACAAGGCGTGCTGGGCAAACTGGAGAGACTGAGGACTACAGCCATCTCAGCAGGGAGGAGGAACCAGAGCTGGGCTCAGAAGGGGAACATCACCTCACCTCAGAAGGGGCCACCTCACAGTGACCCTGGGGTTCCATAGGAGGTGTGGCATTGGGGATAGAGGGAGGACAGCCCTGAGTTAAGACTCAGTGGGGAGGAGTGATGAGTCTAGAGAGGACAATTTGAAAGTGAAACCAGGTTGGGGCTGATGCCAAAAGTACTTCTGACCCAATGAAAGAAATCTTACCCCAGGCACTGAGACCCAGAGCTGAAAAGAAAAGAAGCAACAGCAGCATCCTCATGTGGTCCCAGGACACAAATTAGAGCAATGTGGACCACAGCCCTGAAAGAGATACAGACAGTTAATCCAACAGTGCTCACTTTTCCAACAGGATACAACCCTGCATGGTGTCCTGTCTGCCTCCCGCCCAAACTGTGGACTTCCTGAAGGTCAGCACCTGGCCAGGCTTCTCACCATCCCCAACATAGGGCCTGACTCTCAGCAGGTGCTCAGTAGAGGTGAGGGCATCAACATCTCCGTCTAGCCACCACCCTTGCCCACCTCCTATGACCCTGGGAGCTCCTAGTCCCTCAGAAGAGCCCAGTGCCTCATCTGAAGCCTTCCAGTACACATAGGAACAATTTCTAAAATCCTTTAGTAGCTGTTATGAATAAATCCTGTGTAGATAATTTCACATATGTGCTGTAAGTTTATATATAATCCTTTAACAATTCATATATTATGAACCCCACTTTTTTAAAGTGTTTTAATTATATTTTATTGACTATGCTATTACAGTTGTCCTGATTTTTCCCCCTTTGTCCCCCTCCACCCAGCACCTAGCACCTCCCTCAGGCAATGCCCCCACCATTGTTCATATCCATGGATCATGTATATAATTTCTTTGGCTACCCTATTTCCTATACTGTACTGTACATCCCCATGGCTATTCTGTAACCACCTATTTGTACTGCTTAATCTCCTCACCTCTTCACCCATTCCCCTACACCTACCTCCCATCTGGCAACCATCAATACGCTTTCTGTATCCATGATTCTGTCTCTGTTCTTTCTGTTTGCTTAGTTTGTTTTTCAGATTCAATTGATGGTAGATATGTATTTATTGCCATTTTATTGTCCATAGTTCTGATCTTTTTCTTAAATAAATCCCTTTAAAATTTCATATAATAATGGTTTAATGATGATGAACTCCTTTAGTTTTTTCTTGTCTGGGAAACTCTTTATCTGCCCTTCAATTCTAAATGATATCTTTGCTGGGTAGAACACTCTTGGCTTTAGTTCCCTGCTTTTCATGACTTTGAATATTTCTTGCCAGTCCCTTCTAGCCTGCAAAGTTTCTTTTGAGAAATCAGATAACAGTCTTATGGGAACTCCCCTGTAGGTAACTAACTTCTTTTCTCTTGCCACTTTTACGACTCTCTCTTTATCTTTAACTTTTGGCATTTTGATTATGATGTGTCTTAGAATGGGCCTCTTTGCATCCATCTTGTTTGGGATTCTCTGTGCTTCTTGGACTTGCATGTTTATTTCCTTCACCAAATAAGGGAAATTTTTTTTCATTATTTTTTCAAATAGATTTCCAGTTTCTTGCTGTTTCTCTTCTCCTTCTGGCACCCCTATGATGAGAATGCTGGAACACTTGAAGTTGTCCTAGAGGTGCTTACACCATGCTCATTTTGGAGGGTTCTTTTTTCTTCTTGTTCTGATTGGTTGTTTTTTGCTTTCCTATGTTCCAAATTATTAATTTGATTCTCAGCTTAACCTACTCTACTGTTCTTTATTTCAATTAATGTATTCTTTGTTTCTGACTCTATCTTTTTTATGCTGTTGAGGTCCTCACTAAGTTCCTTGAGCATCCTTGTAACCAGTGTTTTGAACTTTGCATCTGATAGATTGCTTATCTCCTTTTTGTTTAGTTCTTTTTCTGGAGTTTTGATCTGTTATTTCACTTGGGTCATGTTTCTTTGCCTCCTCATTTTGGCAGCCTCCCTGTGTTTGTGTCTATGTATTAGGTAGAGCTACTATGAATCCCTGTCTTGGTAACATGATCTAATATAGTAGGTATCCTGTAGGGTCCAGTGGCACAGCCTCTCCTATCCCTCAAGCTGGGTACTCCAGGTGCACCCTCTGTGTTGGCTGAGTACACTCTCCTCTTGTAGTGCAAGGACTGTCTGTGACCACTGACCACCAACCTCTGCCCTCCTTGGCAAATGAGCTGTACAGGAGCAGGGTAGTGGTGCTCTGACATGGTCTGTAGCTATCCACTGGGTGCACAGGCTTTGGGGTATCCCAGGTGGTGCAAGCCAAGGTCAGCCTCCACCTGTGTCCTGCCCAGAGCCACCCTGCCTGAGCTATAAAGCAATCTGAGATGGCTGCTACTTGTGCTGGGCTTGGAGATTTCCAGGCAAAACCAAACTATGAAGCTAGGCTGACTGCTGCTAGTGCCAGGCCTGGGGCCACTTAGCAAAAAGTACAGTAGCTGGGGGCTTCCTGAGACTGGCTATTGCTTATTTGATAGGATTTAGGGAGTTGTGAAGCATGAGCCAAAACCAGCCATTCATATGGAAATGTCACAGTTAATAGTTCAGGTGGTCCCATAAGTTGGATGGGATGGAGTCTTAGGGATCTCCATGTGGGGCAAACAGTGTTAGCCAGGCTGATGGAGTCTCAGATATGGTACCCACCTGCTGACTCTGTGGGAAAAGGGCTCAGAAAAGGGGACAGTGGCCTCTGCCCACCATTCTTTCTGGGAGAAAGCAATTCCCCCAGCTCCCACATTGATGCCAGACATTTCACTTCCTCCCCGTATGCCATTTGTGCCTTTCAAGCTGCTACCCCGGTGCTGGAGTTCAGACAGAGTGAGTCTAAGTACATGTGTGGATTCTTTAAAGAGAACTGCTTGGGACTTCAGAAGTTTCTTCCACCAACTTAATCCCTGCTGGGTTTTGCAGCCAGAAGTTTGGGGACTTCTCTTCCTGGCACTGGAATGCTGGGCTGGGGAACCTGGTGTGCAGCTGGAACTCCTTGCTCTTGAGATCCCCCTCCTGAATTTTTATACGTCATATGTGGATGTGGGACCAGCCCTTTCCATGTCTCCACCCCTCCTACTGGCCTAGATGGATGTGGTTTCTTTAATTCCATGGTTGTCAGACTTCATTCAACTAGATTTCTGACTGTTCTGAGTGATGGCTGTTCTATATTTTAGTTGTAATCTTTATTAACCCTACTTTTATAAGTGAACACACTGAGGCTCAGAGGAACTAAACTATAAGTAGGGCCAGGACTAGCTTCATCCCCAGCACTATTTGAGAGTCAGAGTTGTGTCAGATCATCCAGTTTGGTCCTCTACCCCACAAAAATCCTACCAGATGCTAATAACAGCAACAGTTACATCCTATATTACAGGTATTTGTGAAGGACTCCATGGACGTTCCATTAAATTTCCTCACAGTGCTCTATGAGACCCACTCTTACCATCAGGAAACTGGGCCTAAGTTACCCAACCAGTAGGAGCAGAGTAGCACAACACCCAGGTCTGTCTGACTTCATAGTCTGTGCCTGAAACTTCTCTGCAACCTGCTTGACTTTCTGGTGGTGGAGTTTCAATGTGGGCCCAAGAGGTTGAACTCTAGGACCTCTACAGTCCTTTCCAGCTGCAGGAATCTTTTCTGCTGTCAGGAAGAAATGAATTCTTACCTGTGTTTAATCAAAATTAAATATCAGCTCCCTGGGATATCAATCAAAACATCAACTCTTCTCCCAATTATCCTACTGAGAAACTACAGGGGGAGGTTTGAGGTAAAATGGGAAATAATCACCCTCCAGAGTTTTTTTTTAATAATCAGTGGTCCTCAGATGGAAAATGTTTAGAACCACTGTTTAAGACTTGAGCATGTGGGAGCTTCCTTAAATTAGAACAAGCAACCTTTTGGCAAAAAAAAATGCTGAATATTCCTTTCATCTGAGAAAACTGTGCACTGAAGAAAAAAATAAGCCCATCAAATATGAGGACAGGCACCTAATAAACAGGCAGGACAGTGTTCAGACTCCTTCAAGGGCCAAACAAGAGACCCCAAGAGCTTGCCCCAAGAGGGAAGCTCTGTAGGCTAGCCTCCTGCAAAGCTACCTGGAAACCAACAATCAATTCTAGTCAACGGGTGATCTGCATGCTTCCTCAACCACTAATGTTACCTTGCAAATGTTGTCCTGAGGTGTCACATCTTTGGGCTGAAACTGCAAGGCTTGAGCCCGGCTTTGATCATGCCAGGGTGTCTCCCACCCCCAGTCCCACTCCCACCTCCAATCACAAATGTTGAGCTGACAAAATAGGCTGGGGCCAAGGTTCAGCCACCTTGGCTCACATTCTTATGCATTCTGTACACTTTACAAAAGAAGGATGCAAGTGAGACATAATACATAAGATTCAGGGTTAGAGAGAAAGGGAAGAAATTGTGTAGAAGTAAACCCAGGACCCACAGCCAATAGATAAAATTTTCTTATTAGGAAGAATTCAAGATGAGAGACCAGAGCAACTTTCTCCACTGTGTTAACCTGATAGACTCTAGTCCCTTCTTTGAGACAAGGCTTCCCAAGAAAACCCACCCACACTCACACTCAGAAATACCTGGGAATCCCGTGCAGGTCAGGGTGCAGGTTGCAGGTTGCTCACCCCTCATTGGCTGACAGCTCCTCCCTTTCAGACTTGGCTTTGGCCCTGCCCTCCTTGGCCAGCAGCTGCCTCCTCTGGCTTTCACTCTCCCGACACTAGAGGGCACTCTCTCCCAGGAATGAAGCTTTGGGCTCTGGCTTCTCACAGAGGAGGAAAGCTGGATCCTTAAAAATAAAAGGTAAAGAAGAGGCAGAGTTCTGAGGCTCTGAGCCTGCTCCCTCCACAGCACCAAGGGGAACTTGGTGAAACCAGACTCGGGTTGAGAGCAGAGACCCGCCCTGTGAATAAGCCCAGGTGCCTCCTCCCTGGGAAAGAACGAGATTGCCCAAGAGCCATGAGCTCCTTCCTCCTCCCAGACTTCAAGAAGCCTGGCCAATGTGGGGGTGCCCGTGGGACCTGGGTTTTCACAACCCTGATGTATCTAAATTACCATTGAGCTGTTTTAAACTGAATAAAGTTTTCTTCTCAAATTGGGAAGTACCTCAAATTGAGTATTCCTGTTAGCACTGAATTGGCACCAAGCATTGGTTGACAGTCCTCATACCTGAAATTTTTATTTATGATTCTGGATGTTTTCTGTTGTGATTAGTAGAAAAGCCCTTAAAAGGAGAATGAGCTTGTCTTTGAAATAGCAAGTTAGAGAGAACTAAGGAGAGGGTCTCACTCTGAACTTAACAACTTGTAAAAAAAGAAAATCCAAGTGATAAGGGAGTGGCGGCAGCCAAAAAGGGAAAGAACAGGTATGATTGAGGGTCCCTGACTAAAGCCTGGGGGCCAACCACAGGGGCAAGGCCACTGCTGGCTCATATGGGATTTTTAAGAGAATTAGAAAAGGTGCTCCTTCCTTTAGTCACTGTTTTAATCAGTGACTAAAAATTGTAGTCACTGATTTCTCAAGAAAAAAAAATTATAGTAAGTAACCACTTTCTCTAAATCACATGAATCAAGTGATTAAACATAAAGTAGCACTTTAAATTTTTAACTACAATAATTAAGAACTCAAAGTCACAGAAGTATGATTTGTTATGCATTTGCTTTGCTTTCCTGGAAACAAAACTCATTGTGGTAATTTTGACACTTGATCCAATATCTCATTTTCTTAAAAACTGATAACTAGTCTTTGTTGGATCATTTTAAATACATTTCACTTGAAAAGTGATATTCTCTACTAGTGACCGATATCAACCAAGTTAAATACATTTTAAAAGCTACCACAGTTTTCAAAAAGATAGCTAATGTATTTTTGCTGCCAATATGCTCCAACTTCAGCATGATTCACACTAGATGAGGAAATAACTTAGTCTCCACTCTCATATGTGGATGTATAATCAATATCACTTTTATTACTATGTTCATCAGTTAATTTCAACTGCAAAATTTTACCTAGTAGTAATAATGCATGTTCGTTATAATTTTCCAAACTTCAAATGAAATCTAAGTACCAAAAAGGCCATAATCTTTTATCTGTATTGTAAAATTTTCCTTTAAAAAATGATACTGTCATATCCAATTTTTTAAAAGATTGAAACATCAGTTTGGTTCGTGGGTGGGTTGATATAGACACAACAGAAGTGAGTCATTTTCCTTTTTTCTAATATTTTCTACATTGGAGAAATTATTCTCATAGTCAAGAGATTCTTAATTTGTTAACATCATTAATACATTTTCCATAAACATTTTTACCTCTAACTTCTTTAAATCATCTGTTTTCAAGGGCATTATGAACACCAAATTGTGCTTCCTACTTAATCTTACTTATAAAAAATAATTTTACTACTTCCGGCCAAGATGGAGGTGTAGGTAGACACACTGTGCCTCCTCGAACAACCAAAAGAAGGACAACAACAATTTAAAAACAAAAAACAACCAGAACTGCCAGAAAATTGAACTGCATGGAAGTCTGACCACCAAGGAGTTAAAGAAGACACATCCATCCAGACTGGTAGGAGGGGCAGAGATGGGCAGCCAGGGTGGAGAGGACTCAAGGCAAGATGGTGGCTGGTGGACCCGGAGAGGTGGTGGATTGCAGACCAGGTGGTCCCACATTCGCACACAGATAAACCAGGAGGAACAACTGGAGAGTGGGATGGACTGCACAACCCAGGGTCCCAGGTCGGGGAAATAAAGCCTCAAACCACTGATTGAAAACACCTGTGGGGGTTGAGGCAGCAGTGGGAGGAACTCCCAGCCTCACAGGAGAGTTCATTGGAGAGACACACAGGGTCCTAGAATGTACACAAGCCCATCTACCCGGGAATAGCACCTAAAGGGCCCAATTTGCTTGTGGGAAGCAGGGGAAGTGACTGAAATCTGGCAGAGAGCAGAGCAAGTGCCATTGTTTCCTCTAGCACCCCTGCCCCATATACAGCATCACAGTGCAATGACATGGGTTGCCCTGCCCTGGTGAACACCTAAGACTCCACCCCTCACTATGTAACAGGTGCATAAAGACAAAAAAAAATGGCCCAAACGAAAGAACAGATCAAAGCTCCAGAAAAAATACAACTACGCAATGAAGAGGTAGCCAACCTATCAGATGCACAGTTCAAAACACTGGTAATCAGGATGCTCACAGAATTAGTTGAATTTGGTCACAAATTAGATGAAAAAAAAGGCTACGCTAAGTGAAATGAAGGAAAGTGCACAGGGAACCAATAGTGATGGGAAGAAAACTGGGACTCAAATCAATGGAGTGGACCAGAAGGAAGAAAGAAACAGCCAAACAGAAAAGAATGAAGAAACAAGAACTCAAAAAAATAAGGAGAGGCTTAGGAACCTCCAGGACATCTTTAAAAATTCCAACATCCAAATTATAGGGGTACCAGAAGGGCAAGAGGAAGAGTAACAAGTGGAAAAGTTATTTGAACAAATAATAAAGAACTTCCCTAATTTGGCAAAGGAAATAGACTTCCAGGAAGTCCAGGAAGCTCAGAGAGTCCCAAAGAAGTTGGACCCAAGGAGGAACACACCAGGGCACATCATAATTACATTACCTAAGATTAAAAATGAAGGAGAGAATCCTAGAAGCAGCAAGGGATAAGGAGGCAGTTACCTACAAAGGAGTTCCCATAAGACTGTCAACTGATTTCTCAAAAGAGACCTTACAGGCAAGAAGGGGCTGGAAAGAAGTATTCCAAGTCATGAAAGACAAGGACCTACATCCAAGATTACTCTATCCAGCAAAGCTTTCATTTAGAATGGGAGGGCAGATAAAGTGCTTCTCAGATAAGGTCAAGTTAAAGGACTTCATCACCACCAAGCCCTTATTATATGAAATGTTAAAGGGACTTATCTAAGAAAAAAAAGATAAAAAATATGACCAGTAAAATGACAGCAAAGTCACAGTTATTAACAACCACACCTCAAATAAAAAACAAAAACAAACAACTAGAACAGGAACAGAAGCATGGAAATGGAGATCACAAGGAGAGTTATCAACAGGGGAGAGGGAGAGAGGGGGCAAGGTACCGAGAATAAGTAGCATAAATGGTAGGTAGAAAATAGAAAGGGGGAGGGTAAGAATAGTATAGGAAATGTAGAAGCCAAAGAACTTATTTGTTTGACCCATGGACTGAACTAAAAGGTGGGGAACATGTGTGGGAGGGGATGTGCAGGTTGGAGGGGAGTGAAGGGGAGAAATAGAACAACTAACTGTAATGGGATAATCAATAAAATATATTAATAATAATAATAACTTTACTAAACATTATGCCAAGTTAGTACTGAGAAAATAAATTTTAAAATGGTTATTTTAAAACATACTATACCGGGGGGTGGGCTGGGATGGGAGTAAAAGATAGAAAACTATATTTGAACAACAATTTAAAAAAAGACAAAGAGGAAAAACCAATATACCAATATTGACTATTAAAAAAACATATTATACCTTATGCTCAGTTCTGGAACATATCTTTATTAAAGGCATTAATTTGATTTTTACATCACATATTAGATAAAGGTTTTATACTATTTTTGTTAAATCTCTCCTCAATACACTCCAATGTTTCATTGATGTTGAAAAGTAGCCATAAGCTCCTGGACAATATAAAAAATATCAGGAGCATCAAAAATATTTCAGCTTTATTATTTACTGCCAAGTTTAAAGGTTTCAGAGGAAAGGGGCCACAGAATTCTCTAGAAATTTTTTAGTATCTTTTGAGAACTTTTAAGTGTTCTATATGTATTTGTAGCATTATTGTATTTCTGGTTACACCATACCTTCAAATCAAACCCATTTTATTTATTTAATTATTCTGTACACATTTATCAGGGCTTTACTCTATGTGAAGCTTATTACCCAAGGAGAAGAAAGAAGAAAGAAGAGAATGCATTCACTTTCAAGGAGTTAATAATATAAGGTGCAACATGGGCACAAACACCAACAATTGTTATGACAATAAGGTAGAATGTGGAAGTTCATGTTCTCTGTAAAGTGATGTAGAAGTTCAGTGAATTGTAAGGAGGAATTGGAAAACCAGAAATAGGTTTTTAAGGCTGGAATTGAGGGTATTAATTAGGCTATTAAGCCACAATCCTGTGGCTTCCTGCTTGCTCTCAGCAAGGAGTAAAATGGTGGGGAAATTGGAAGTGTTAGAAGCAGAAGAGACTGGGAATATAAAGGACTCTCAATCTGGGAGGTGAGGTAGTCCACAGATATGATAAGCTCTGTGACCAGGGACAGCTGAGACGATGTCAGGGGAAAGCATTTAGAATGGAAAAGGTTGAAGGAACCAAGATAACAGAAGTGTTCTCAGTGTGAAGCAGCCTAGAGACCAGAAGGATGATCAAGTCTTGCCTGGTCTGAGCCCAAAGGGCAGGATCACGGTCTGAAGACACCTTTGGGCCATGAAGAGTACACTGAGACCTCATGCACAAGAGACATGGGGAGTGGGTAGACGGTGAATGTATTGGACAGTGCAGGGAAGTTTGCAGGCAATAAGTTCCAGGCAAAATGGTGGTTGCAGAAAGCCCCCTGGAAGGAGATCTGAAATGAAGGGATAAGATGAGAGGCAGAGAGTTGGAATCCATTCTTGAAAAGGCTGGGATCATGGTCCACCTCTGAGAGTCGTGACCCTCCCCAGACTTCAGATCCCTCTGGGAAGGAAAAGTCCCTGTACACTGGTGGGACACGGCATCTTCTGCTCATGGCGAAGCAGGTAAACCTGGATTCAGGAGATGGCCCTGTAGCCATGAGGCTCATAATAACACAGAATCTAAAAACTTTAATCAGCTCCACA